GCGCTCACGTGCTCTTCTCCCTCTTGGCCCCCTTGACTCTTCTCCCCCTGCGCCTCTGGGACAACCACCCCTTCTAGTGTAGCCCCCACTCCCCTCTCCTCCGCCATGGAGGTAACCTCCCCACCAACCCTTATCTTTTTCAACCCAGGCGCATCTGAAGCCCTCTTAAGGGCAACCCTCATCTTCTTCTTTTTTTTCAAAGCCTCCCCCTCCTTGTTTGCCCTTTCCTTAACCGGATCAGCTGGGGGCGGTCGTGGCTCAAAACTGCCCAAGTCCTTTTCCCCCAGCGGCTTGGGGCGTGGTCGGATTCTCTCCCTCGCGACCGGTTTTGGTGGCTGGCCTAACTGTGCTTCTTTAAACTGATTGGCCTTGGCGAAAATGGTCCAATCCTTCGCCTCTTGCACTTTTCTCCTCGCTTCTAGCTCTGCCGGTTCCAGATCTTCACCGGTCGGCTGAGGGCCCAACCTTGCGAAAAACAAGGCTGACGGCTGAACGAGATCGTCCCATCTGGAGCCCTACTTCTCCCACCATGCCTTCACTTTCTTCACCCTCTCCTCCGCTGCCGCCCCCAACCTTGGCTCCATAGACTTGGTGGGCACTCTCCACACCGTACGCACTTCAACTTCCCCGTTTGCGAACACGTAGAACCATCGCAGCCTCTACCCTTTGATTGATGATGGCAACCCTACCACCAGTCCCCTCCTTGCTACCACCTGCAAAGTGACCCAAGTTTCTTGCTAGCCTGAGGCCTTATAGCACGCAAAGAACTCATCCACCGTCATAGCCTCTCCTTCGTTCGCTCCCGACCATGCACTTGCACAGGCCAGTACAATCTTCCATGCATTGGGCATTAGTTGACCCGGCGCCACCTCCAATCAGTTTAGGACATCCACTACTATCTGCGGAAGCGGCAACCTCAACCCTCCCTTAAATGCCTCATCGTAGAGGGCAAACTCCCCCGGCCGGCCGTCGGATGGCCTCTCCGTTGGCGTCGGCAGCATTAACTCTATTTCGGCGGGAACCTGGTATTTTTCGCACATACCCTCCAACTCCTCCGCAGTAACAGTCGACTTGTCGACCTTCGTATGCCAGTGATCTGGTTCCGCCTGGCTGATTGGCTTCGGAGCTGCTATCATGGTGGACGAATGAGGTCGTCCCGCCGGTTTCCCCCCTCTCCCCACTCGCCCAGCCGTCCTATATTGCTCCGCCAAATCCACCGCATCGTTGTCCCCTAACGGGTCAACCCCGGTGGTTGCAGCTTCCTCTTGGGCCATTTCTGTGGTATGTCTGCGAATGGCTTCGGATGCGGGCGCGAGAAAATTTACAAAGTGTCGCAAGGGTGTATCGCTAGCAACGAAGGAGTTGACATTTGGAATATTTTGGTTGTTTGCAAAGAGGTACGTAAAACGGATAATACCAAACACCCAAGGTTTACCCGTATTCCAAGGGTCACAATTAATTTTTGCCAGTTTGAAAATTTTCAAAAATCTGCCAAAACTGTCTTTTTAATACCCTACAATGACCTATCGTTTCACTTATTACCCAACGCCTAACCTCCCCCCCTATGCGATTCTACCACGTGTACGACCACGATCCACTGCCCCTTTCCCCTTCCCTGTCTATTCCACTTTACTTCAACACGTGCCCCGCCGCCTCTCGAGCCCCGCGCCCCACCGCCCCACCCTTCGCGGTCGTCCCTCCGCTCAGACACCCTTCATGGTCGGCCTTCCTCATGGTCGTTCCCTCCGCTTGGCCACCCTTCGCAGTCGTCCCTCCTCATGGTCTGTCTCCCCGCTCGACCACCCTTCGCGGTCGGCCCTCCTCATGGTCGGTCTCTCCATTTGGCCACCCTTCGCGGTCGGCTCTCCTCGTGGTCGGTCACCCCTCTCGGTCAACCTTCACCCTACCGGTCTCTCACATCCCTCATACTCTTCATAATTCCCTTTGTTGGACTAAAGCTGCACTTGGGAATAAGGTACTACTGACATGAGTAGGCCCATAAAGGTTATAGCCCACCATTTAGGGCCCAATACATATCCTAAATACTAAAGCCCAACACTACTGAAGCCCCATGTAGCAATAAGAGCCAATGACATCAAGACACATGGCAAGAGAAGGGCAAGCCACATCAGCAGACAAAGATCTGCAAAGTTATTGTCACGGCACATCGCCATTAATGAGGCCCCCTTACAGCATTTATTGTGATAACCCCTCTCCGTCAGGACGGCACACCCTCACCCTGAACAAGGAAAGCTACAGCATAGACTTTCGGCCAAGGTGACAGGTCGGAAGGGACAACGAAATGATTACCAGAGGATATAAGCAGACGTTGAAGACAAAAAGAAGGTTAAGCTTTTCTATCTCTAATCTATCTCTACAATCCACTTCTCTTTCTAACTTGCTCGTCGAAGGGTTCGCTAGGGGACTTCCCGTTCCCCGTTGAACTCTTGTGCAGGTTCTCTGGTGGGCTTGATCACCCGGATATCGGTTGGAGAAGTGTGGATCAGTCCGACCTGTCCAAGTCTCTTGTAGTATCATCAGTTGGTGCCGTTTATGGGAAACTCTTACTTTACGCGCCAGTTGTGCTCATTGTAGCCGGAGGCCCTTCCCCAATAACCCCTTTCCTACCACCTGCCAAGGTGTATGGTCACGACTAGATCCATGGCTTCTCACCCCAATGTTCCCGATCATCAAGCCAACCCCCCTAATCCAAATAACCCAACACCGTATTTCACCGAACTCACCAACAGCATTAACCGCTTGGCCGAGCAAAACCAAGCCCTGATTAATGCTCTTCTCCAAAGAAACCTTCCTATGCCTCCTCCAGCTCCAGATATTCCCCTCAACCAAGAACGAGCCTCGAGCCATACTATCCTGCAGCCTAATCCACCAAACTTGGAAGGCTTACAACCCCCTCCCCCAGGTATAAACCTGTCACCTCGGGGCCCACAGCCATCGATCCCGGCACCGACCCTTGAAGGAGAGGCCAGCAGCGTCCAGCCCCCGCTGCCCTCTGGTGGTGACAACATCCCTCTCTGGGACGCAGAACTCCGAGCCATGAAGCTCCAGTTCCAAGGGGTCATGCAGAACATACAGTATAAACCATCTACCACAGCCAACTCCCCATTTGTTGCTTTCATCAGGGACAAACCTCTACCCCCCAAGTTCAAAATGCCCATCATCAACTCTTTTGACGGTACGATGGACCCAGTCGACCACTTGAAGACCTACAGAACCCTTATGATCCTCCATGCATTCCCTGACGAAATAAGGGTAAGATGTGGTCCGATTTGACTTCTTGCTATAATGATGCCAAAGTCCAATGAGGCTCCCCAAATTTGTCACCTTGAATTTGGGTATAGACTAATTTGAATGAGAAACGAATTTATATTCAAATTTCCCATCTTAAAAAAGGATTCATTTATCGGACTCATCACGTTATGGTTCTGACGTGTCAATTTCGGAATAGCTCCAAGTCTCCAAGTGTTCTGAGACTTTTAATGAATTGACTTGTGAGTTCTCCAAACCTTTTCGCAGCCAAGTACTTGAATCTCTAGATTCATGATTCTGAACCCTTTTTTGAGTCTGGTTGTAAAGGATCTTTAGATTCATAGTTCTGAACCATTTTGAGTCCAAGGCCCGTTTGTTTTCAGAGGTAGAATTGAGGGGATTGATAGTTAGGAGATTAATAATGAGGGGATTGTTAGTGAGAGAATTAAGTAAAATTGTGTTTGTTTTGAAGATAGTTGTTAGTGTAGGGATTGTTAAATTATTTTTGTATAAAATAAATATAAAATAATAAAACAAATAAAAAAAATACAAAAACATTAAACATTAATGTTTTTAAAAAAATGCCCAATATGTAAAAAATTTTAAAAAAATAAAAATAAAATAAAAAATTTCTAGAAAAAAATAAAACAAATAAAATAATGATTTTTACTTAACAAAAAATACAAAAAATTTAACATTAATGTTCAAAAAAGAATGCCTAACATGTAAAAAATAAAATAAAAAATAAATAAAAATAAAAATTTCTAGTCCACCGGACTATTTTTCTAATACCAAGTCCTGGCGGCCCATCTGAATCTTCTTAGAGAGACTTATTCTAATCCGAAACTCACTATCAATCCCCTCCCCATCTCTCAAAATAAACACTATATTAATGAATCTCACCTCCCTATCAATTCCAATTTCCCCTCTAACTCTCTAAACAAAAGGGCCAAGTGTTTTGCTTCTTTGAGAATGAATTGCTTCTTTGAGAATGATATATTTGTCCAAGAGTTTCGTGATTTGGACTCTTCTACTTTTCCTGCTTTCAAAATTTGGGCAGGGGATTTAAATTTCATACTTCAAGTTTCCCCCTTACATTATTTGTAAAATCAGGTATAATTTTTTTTCTTTATATAGCATTACTCATTTGAAATATATGATTAGTTAAAATAAAAAAAATAACCTCTTAGCTAAAATTCGTCTAAAATATTAACTTCTTCAATGTGGATGCATTTATATAATCCCATCTAATTGAATAAAGCAATATGTAAAATAAAATTTTAAGTTCTTTTACAATTTTTTTGTTTTTTAATTCAAGATAACCTCAATTTTTTTATTTTTTTAAAAAAAGATAATTGAGTGTCCAACTTGGGCGCAAGTTGACTAATCTCCAACCCCAATATTAACGACCAAACAAACTTCTAAACCCTGGGGCGACTCAAGCTCGAACTCTTGAATCTTATTCTCAATTTTTTTTCCTCTCACCCAACTCCAAAAAGGTTGGTATAATCTCATCTTTTCATTTGCAATTTTGGAATCAATCCAGTAAATAAAGGGGAAAAAAATTCTTCTTATTTTGGTGGGTGGGGGGAACCTCATAGAAATAAGATAAGTATGGCAGGAGAATTTAGTAAGATTATGGCAAATATTGCTAACGAGGGTGAAAGGGAGCCATCAACCATCTAAAGGCATTAGCCAAAAAGAAAATTTAGTACAAGGTTGTAAAAAACTAACAGAACAGAATTTTATATCACCCAAAGCAGACATAAAACTCCAAACCATTCACAACCACATAAAAATTGAAAACAAGAAGCACAAGAACATCATCATCAATATTCAGCACCTTCCAAGTTTCAGTTTTGAATGCAAGAATTGCCTAAAAACTCAGAATGGCAGGAAATTAAAAAATTTTTTTAAAATAAAAAAAACACACACACACACACACACATAAGCACCTTCTCCTAACAAAAACATCCATGGAGAAGAGAACCCTATTTCGAGGCAGCATTCCCCTCACTTCACTTCTGTTCTTCATCTTGCTTGGGAGCTTCTTTAATCTCATCTGCTCCATCATCCTGAATAAAAAAACATATAACATTTGAACAGGCCCCACGTAAATTATTCTTTCTCACAATATCACCTGGCTAATCATTAGTTTCTAATTTCTTGCCTTAAGAAAAAAAATATATATATACCACTTGCGAAAATAACAGCCAGTCATGCAAGTGACGGGTCAAAACATTGAAACACCCAGGTGCCCAAATAAATATAAAAACATATGCCCACAAAATATCAAGAAAAAGAAACGTGTAGCATTGCATAATAAGATGAGACGAACCCACAATAGATACAAAGCAAGTTGCAGGGAAGTAGAGAAATACCTGCATATCTGAGGTCCACAGCGTGAGGTTATCCCTAAGAAGTTGCATAATCAATGTGCTATCCTTGTAAGACTCCTCTCCCAAGGTATCCAATTCAGCAATTGCTTCATCAAAAGCCTGGTCAAGGCATTACAAAACAAACAAATCTGAGCAAAAGCACAAATTGAAATATCAAATAATGATGCTTTGTTTTTCATGCAAGGTGAAGAAGAATTTATGCAACAGTTGGGGACCATAAAATCTTTAACGAGCGAATGTCCAGATCTATGCATTCACTAGTAGGTGCATCAATTTTGGGAGATCATTCTATGTTTAATATACAGGAAAACAAAAACCAAAACCATTTCTTCTCGAAGTTCAACAGTATGCTCTATTATTATGCCACCTCCCAAAATGGAGGGAAAATAGAACAATAATGTCAAATTCAAAATAACTCACCTGTTTGGCAAGATTGCAAGCACGGTCAGGAGAATTCAAAATCTCATAGTAAAATACAGAAAAGTTAAGAGCAAGTCCAAGCCGAATTGGATGTGTGGGAGCAAGTTCTGCACTTGCAATATCCTGAAGAAAAAACAATCACAGTTATTATAATGTTCAAAAACAATATATGTATAAATAAACCAAAAAAGAAACCAACAATTGATCAGCATTATCCCACCACACTCTGCTGCAGATTGAAGCAAACTACCCCCATTTAAAAGTCCTATCAATGCTAGGACAGTAATTTTTTTTATCATCATCTTTTACAATTTTTTTCCCCTTAATCATATACACAAGCCTAAGACAAATAATTATCATAACTCATTTCTAACCCAAACTTCATAGGAAACTGCTGCCAAAACAAAACAAAAAAATGTTAAAAAAAAGAAATTAATCAAACCAAAAATTGGACAGGGTAGTATAGTATGATGTCCATGATAAAAGTTTCAACATTTATTTTCCTTAGGAAATTAAAAATATTTTTTTGTCACAAGTTCATTCTAACCATAACATTATTCACTTCTTTTTTTTTTTTTTAGATGCACATGCTCCAAGTAAAATATTTATGAAAAAATATTTTAAAAAATTCAATAAATGCACAAAAATAAGAAAATATATTGAACTTTTGTATTTGATGAATTATTTTTTTTTATATAAAAAATCCATAAATATTATAGGTGCACCTAGAAAATAAATCAAAAAATTCTCTAAAGTAAACTTTTTGACTAAAAACCAAAAAACACGGAAAATAAAAAAATAAAAATAAAAAACTTAAAAATCTGAAATCAAAACAAGGTGATTATCTTTGGTCAATAAGATAAAAAAAAATTGCCTTCCATGACATGAAAGGGATGAATCTACACCCTAACCCTGACTAATCTGCATCGGAAGTAGAATCTAAGCTCCAAAAAAGAACTAAAAATAGACAAATCTCATAAATCTAAAAAAATGTAAAAGCCAAAGCACAATAATGAGAATTTAAGCTGGAAGAAGTTCTAAAAAGGTCATGCAATTGTGCATATATGATACAGAGACAGTGAAGAAGAACAAACCTGAGCTGCTTTGTACGCAGTGAGTGTGCTTTCAGCAGCCTCCTTGCGCTCCGCACCGGTCTTGAACTCAGCGAGATATCGATGATAATCACCCTTCATCTTCAGGTAAAACACTTTGGAGTCTCCGGCGGACGCGGCAGGGATGAGCCTGGAGTCGAGAAGCTTGAGAATGCCATCGCAGATCGACGAGAGCTCGTTCTCTATCTTAGATCTGTAGTCCCTGATCATCGACACATGATCTTCGTTGCCTCGACTCTCCTCTTTCTGCTCGATCGACGAGATGATTCGCCACGAGGCTCTTCGAGCGCCGATCACGTTCTTGTACGCCACCGAGAGGAGGTTGCGCTCCTCCACAGTCAACTCCTCCGACTCCGCCGCCGCCGCCGAGACCTTCTCCATGAACTCCACCATTTCTTCGTAACGCTCGGCCTGCTCGGCCAGCTTCGCCATGTACACGTTCTCTTCGCGCGTCGATGGTGCCACCGCCATGGTTGGATCTTGAAGTCTGTGAGATCTGTGGTTTTCAGAGGGGGGGTTTGATTTGAAGGAAAGAGTTTTAGAGAGAGAACGAGAGTGTTTTTAGAGAGAGAATAAGAAAAAAAAAATTGGGCGGAGGAGAGAGAGTGGCGGAGGCGGAGAGAGTGGTTTTAGGCCTTTTGGGGGGGAATCAGGTGCGAACATTGTACGGGTATTTTTGCGTGAGACTGCCGCCCCGATCCATCACATCGCTCAAAGCTATGAAATTCAGCGGCAGTGATGGTTTTTAGTTATGGTAAAAAATTGAAAAATGTTTGACAGTCATAATTTTTGTGGCCATAATGATTTAAAATTGTCAAAATTACGTCGTTTAGAGTGTAAAACATGTCAAAACAGCGTCGTTTTGACAATTTTGTGTCATTATGACTACAAAAATTGTGATCCTCTAACATTGTTATAAAAAATTATTCACTAGGCTTGTTTGCAGTTTTTTGAAAAGAATTTTCAAAAAAAATTATTTTCTTATATTTTTTTTTTTTTGTGTTTACTGATTTTTTTTTAATATTTTAAGTAATTTTTTTTAAATTTTTTAGATACACTCACTATAAATACACTTAAAAAATAATTTTCGTGAAAAATTTTACTAAATACTAAAAATATGAAAATTCAGTATATTTTTTATATTTATTAATTATCCTCCTTCTGTTAATAAATCTATCAATCTCTCTCTTCTCTCCTCTTTTATTCTCTCACATTTTACACATCAATCAATCAAATTTTTTCTTACATCCATCTATTCAACTAAAAATAAAAAATATAAAAAATAAAAAAATTTAATTTTCAAAAAACTGAAACTAAATATACTGATTATAAAATATTATGTCCATTTTTTAATATATATTTTATAAAAATAACAAAGACTAAGAACTCTAAATTTTAAATTCTAAAGAAAATTTTAATAATGTAACAAGGTAAAAAAAAAAATCCTAAAGTTAAATTATCACATACTCTTCTAAAGGTCTTTTAGAATTCGTGTTCTAAAACTCCAAAATATTTTTATTATAGAAAATAAAAAATTATTAAAATAATCTATTGAAAAAAATATGTGTAGTTGGATTTCGGATCAAGTGTATGACAGATGGGAATGTAGCTGGCAATCATTTGGGCTATAAATTTCGAGCCTTTAGGCCCAAATGTGCTTAGGAAAATGTCATTTGTTTGGTTTAATTCTCGAAATATAATTTTTAAAAAATAATTTATAAATTTTATATTCACTTAAATTTTTTTTTTCTTACATATTAATTAATTATTTTTTCTCTCTCTTCTCTTATTCGTAATTATTTTTTTTATCACATATATTTATCTAATTAAAATAAAATATTAAATCATCTTAAACTTCCTAACTCCAAAATTATTTTTAAAATATACAATTAAATAAACTAAATTTTTTTTAAAACTTTCTCCTCAATTTTTTTTTTAAAAATTTATCTCAAAACACAAACTAAACACACCCGTTATGTATTCCAAATAAATTATTAAATTTTTTACTAAATCTTTTATATGAGTGTAGGATTCACACAAATCAAATATATGTGGGCCTCACACTCATATGAAAAATTTGATGAAAAAATTGATAATTTATTTAGAATTCCTAATTTAACTTGTTTATGCAATAGGCAAATCATATATATATATATATATATACATCATTAAAAACAGCATATTTTAAAAGTTTTTCTTATTTTTTTTAAAAGCCACATTGGTATCATTTTTTTTTTGTTATTTATATATAAGGTTTTACATTAATTTAATTTTAATTATAATAATCAATTTTATATGGATTTTATTTAAGAAATAATTATTTTTTATATATTTTTCATTGTTTATTTAATGTTATCGTGGTTAAATTTCTTAAATATAGTTGATATTTTAATTTAATTATTATGATATTTTTAAAAAAAAATTATCTCGATATACAAATAAATAAATAAAATAAAATGTGTTTAATAGTATCTATCGTAGGGATTAAATTAATTTTTATTTTTATTTTTTTATTTTGTATCTATTTTATTGATGTGTTAATATTATTTTTTTATTTACCAGGAAATTATTTATTTCAAAATATTTATATTTAATTTAAATTTTATATACCTATATACAATATATATGAATAATTCAAAAAGAATATAAAAAAAAATATTAATATTCGACATAGTTAATTTATGTAATTTCTCCTTAATCCAATCACAACATATTTATATTTAATCTTTTAAATAAATTTTGTATGATTTTATTTCTACATATTTTTATTTTCTAAATAAATATAAAAATAAAAATAAAATTAAATAATTAGAATCACTTTTAATTTTATATTATTAATTCTCTTTCTAATTTAATATTATTTTTAATATGAAATTAGTGTTTATTTTACTATCTTATAATTTAAAATATATGTCATATAAAATTATTATATGATAATTTCACTTTTATAGCACAATAAAATTAAAATTATCAAAATAAATAAATAATTTAACTGAATTTATTAAATATAACTATTCAAGTAATACTTTTATAGAACGATAAGGTTAAGATTATGAAAGTAAATTTTGTAACACATATCATAGTATAAAATATCATTACATTAATTAAAGTTAACTCTATTGTAATTTTATGTCAGACATCACATTTCTAGAAGTGATTTACATACACGTATAACGCCCAAATTGATATTCATTGATTAAAATAATGAAACTCAATATTTGTTTTTGTTAAGTTTTTAGAAGATAAATTAACAAAGGTCAAATGATAAATAGTGTAAAGTATTATTAAAGAATAATGATTCATCGAAAATGATTGTGTATATTTAAGGCACCTATTGATGTTTCTTGAATAATTTTTAAATAAAATTTTTAAATTTATAGTACTATTGATAATGCACTTTCATGAACTTTGCCAGAAAAAAATATGCAAAAATAATTTCGCTTAAATAAAAATTTTATAGTTATTATGTTGTGTCACATAATTAATTAAAATTTATTTGAGAACTAAAATTATTAAGATTATAGAGTTTTTGTGCATAATTTCCTTTGAGGACAACGTTTATAATTTCAATTTATAATTTTTTTATGTATTAATGTAAATAACTCTTCTGATCTTACCGATATAAGCATAAATCTTACATTTGAGTCAACCCACTTTAAGCACTTATCGTATAATAAAATACTTAAATATTGTCATATAAAACTATTATAATAGATCATAATCAAATATCACTTGAAACATAATTAATGATCCGATGCACTACTTTAGACATAACTAAAAAAATAAGAAGTTAGCAAATACATTTTCGATTAATAACCAAAATAATACACAATGAGTTATAACTAAATCATAATTTGTATATTATAGAATTTTTCATTTTTTTTTATTTTTTTCCAGAAAAAATATTTTGATACAAGTGAACTTCATGATTTTTTATAAATTTAATTAACACAAATGAGGATTTGATTTCAGGTTGAGAATATACATTTAAAAAAAATTAAAAAACATTATTTTTATGAACTTATTTTAAATAGGATCACAAATAGTGACAAAAATTTTCAGTAGCCATTAATAAATCTATTGGTATTTAGTTTTTTGAGAATATACAATTAATTTTGTATTTTAAAAATAAATTATCATGCATCATACGCCTCGAATCCGGATCCTCGGTCACACTTTCGTGCTGTGCATTCCTGTCGCCCTCCCAAACGACATCGTTTTGGAGTTTTTTTTTTTTTTTCTCCTCTCTCTTTCTTTCTTTCTTTCCGAATCCAACACTGGTATGTTGCTCTCTTTCTCTCTCTCTCTCTCTCTCTCTCTCTCTCTCTCTCTTCCTTGTAATAAAGTTTGCAAAGTTGTGTTAATATGGGTTTATTGGGTATTGTTGGCGGAGGTGGAGGACGGAGGCGGTGGAGATTCCGGCGGCGGCGATTTGGGGGATAGTGAGGTTAGGGGATTCGGAGATGGCGACGGCGGCGATGGATTTCATGGGTTGAACGGGCATGGGGGTGCCGAAGAGGAGGCCGGTAGGGATGTTGTAGAGGGAGGTGAAGATGAGAGTGGTGAGGTTACCGACGGAGCACTCGAGTTCAGACTAGATCGTGGTTTTGAGGCGGAGGTTGGTGGCGTATGGGAGAGTGGTAAGGCGGTGGCGCCACCGTGGAAGGCCGAGGAGAGGGGTGGTTTAGGTCGATGATTGTTGCTCCTCTTCCTCCTCCATGCCTCTCTCCAATTCAATTTGCAATCTGAAATGAGGAGAGAGAGAGTGAGAGAGTTATCTTCTGTTAACCCTTTCTTTTCTTTTTCCTCTTCTTCTTTCTTGTTCTTCTTCTTCTTCCTGGTTTTCTTCTTCCTGGTTTGCCTTTATCGGACTTCAATGGTGGGAAGATCAATCCTAACTCTGTAAAAATCAGAAAAAACAGAGACACACAAAAAAAAAAAAATTAATTAAGTGCTTCAAACACCATTACATCAACAACCCAGATCAATTTACAATCTTAAAATCCCCCCCCCAAAAAAAAAAACTTTGAGATTACCTGTCAATGCGTTTCTTGAGCTTTAACAAGAACTTCTCATTGTCACCCTCTGCGATTTTCACAAGCCTCTCCAGCAAATTCTTTCTCTCAATCACTCCAAGCTTTTTGATGTCAATCTCTCTTGCATGGCCTTGTTCTTCAGTCAAAATACCTCTCTGAATCCTCTGATAAGTGGGTAATTTTTCTAGAGCAGCCCATTTTAGAGCTTCTTCGTCGTCTTTATCGCAAAAAGATTTTGAGAAAACTTCTCCCCCGCTGTTCCTCCATATGTTGGAACTACTCAAACGAACACTACTCACTCTCAGTATATTATCACCACCCTCCATTGTCACCAATGTTTCTCAAATTTCTTTTGAGAAATTTGATTGAATCTTTGATGTGTTATTTTTATTTTTTAGAGGAGAAGAACAGATGGTTATCTTTTGGTGTGTCTCTGCTTCTAGGTGTTGGATAGTGGGTATCTTTCTTTGTTTCGTGTTGTACTTTGGAGGGTAACAAGGAAGAGAGAGAGAGAGAGAGAGAGAGAGCAACGTACCAGTGTTAGATTCGGAAAGAAAGAAAGAGAAAGAGAGAGAGAAATAAA